TTTCACAAACACGAATGCCCAGCATTTCCATTTCCATTACTTTGGTGGAGTGCAATTGGAAAATATTTCTCAAAATTCTCACACAATATAACAACAGTTAACCTTGACTTTTCCTTATGTCTACAGCATGTCGGTATGTGCCGCTTGTGTAACATTGATCGAAAAAACATGTTGCAAATCGCAATATGTACTTGGTGTAGTAGTGGTTGGTGAGACGTGGTGAGGCAACGTTATCGTCAAGTTTTTGCTGAAACCACTATAAAAGTAGAATAGAAGATTTTGATTTTTTTTTTTTTTTTTTTTTCAAGTTAAGTGTATCTCGTATATATGCAGTACTTTCCAGATAACAGGTTTGCACTTCAATTCACGCGAGAAAGTACATTAAATATGCACAATTTATATGTTAAGTCAATGCATGCATTCGTAGGGAAAAATTTGAAACAAAAAAAAAAAAAAAACCAAGAAAACAATTTTCATTTATTCCCTCAAATGTAACGTGTATTTTATTTTGTTGTTTAGTGATTTTGGGAGACACTTGTACGCTCCAAACAATCGAAACAAACGAGAATACGAAAATGCAAAATCTGGATCATGTAATGCACGCAAGAAGATCTTTCATTAATATTGCATCCATTTTTGCGGATCATTACCGGACCATGCACAGCTAGCATGGATGGAACGCGAAGCGCTTTCTATCTAATTTGTTTCATTCCATCATCGATTCGGGCACCTTATAATTTCGTTCGCGAATGAAGACAACGCCCCAGATATCAAATTTGATGTTTTTCTAGATCTCATTTTCCGACCATTTATTTGAGCAGCCTGACAACGATCGCTCATAATTTGTTTTGTCCTTCTTGTGACGCCATTTTGACAACAAACCCTAAATTGGAATTTTGCCCGCTTTTTTTCATTCAATCAACTCCACGGCCAACCTTGCTTGCTAATATTTATTCCAAGTTCTGATAAACGCTTTAAAATCTCTGTAATTTAAAGAAAAATAAAAAAAAAAAAAAAAAAAAAAAACGCATTACCGCTCAATTAAAATAACCATGTGGACAATTATAGAACTGAAGAACCATTCAGAAAGTCAAAATATTCTGATCGTGACAGCCACATAATATATGCTTTCAACATAAGGACATAAGTAGCCACAAACAAAACAACAGGCCCTGTCTTGGCATTGCTCCGTGAGAAACTCTTCGGACGTGTAATTTCACGTTCGAGTGATGTGAATTAGCTAGCACGATCGTGCAATTTGTCACCGTTAGACTTTTTTTGTTTTTTTTTTTTTTGTTTTTGTGGATCTACACAAAGGACCGAGTTAC